AACGAATTTCGGTAAGCAAACACACACCCAAAGAAAACTTGCAAAAAACCTAAAAACCTCTTCTTTTGTTTACCTTTTTTCCCTAACTGGTAACAGGCTTCATGAACGGCGCCCGCGTCGTCACCAGCTACGACTACGACGCCCCGCTCACAGAGGCGGGCAACCTCACGGACAAGTACTTTGAGACGCGGGCCCTCTACGATCGTCTGGTGGCCAGTGGGCGTCATCCGAAGATATCGTTACCGGATAGTCCGCCTGAGGTCGCGGACGCCGTCGGCTATGGAAACATCTCCGTGGGGGAGTGGCTGCCACTGGAGCGCCTTCTAAAAGAGTGCCCCAGCGTTTCCGGTCTGCCAAAGCCGGTTCCAATGGAAATGCTGCCTCTAGGACCTGGTTACGGGCAGAGTTATGGTTTTGTCCTCTACCGAGTGGAGGCAAAGGCGGTGAGCAGTTATCAGATTACGGGTAAGCTTTTTGAGTACTTTTTTTACTCAAAAATTTTATCTTTATTTATTTCAGGCCCAATCGCCGACCGAGCCCTCTTCCTAGTTGACGGCAACCAGACGGCGGTCATTCCCGATCGTTCGGCCAACTTTTCCATTACCATCGATCCTGAAAGCTTTGGAACCTCTTCTCCGAACTCAATTCACCAGTACGACGTCCTGGTGGAGAACCAGGGCCGGGCCAACTGGGCCGTCGATCTGTCGAAGCAGAGAAAAGGAATTGATTCGGAGATCAGGCTTGATGGCGCCGTCTGGAGCAACGTCACCGCCTACTCGATGGACTTTAATCGAACCTTTATGTGGCGGCTGTCAAGAAGCTTGGTTTACGATAATGACTGGATTCCCTTTCACCGGGGGCTCAACTTTAGCGGCCCGGCGCTGTACCGAGCGGTCCTTACAATACCAAACCGCCGAGAAAAATTTTCTTCTTCATTTGCCGACACTTACCTTTTACTACCCGGCTGGACCAAGGGCGTCGTCTTCCTGAACGGCTTCAACCTTGGTCGATATTGGGGGCCGGTTGGGCCCCAACAGACGCTGTACGTGCCCGGGCCCCTGCTGAAGGCTGGCCCGAATACGGTGGACGTCTTTGAGCTGCACCGGCCCGGCTCGACTCTGGCCTTTATTGATGGGCCCATTTTGGAGAAAGGTGACGGAGGAAGAGGAATTCGAGGAGGACGAGCCGTACGAGGGCGGAAGTTTAAGAAGGTGTACTAATAATGCCCATCTGTAAGTTAAACTTTTTCATTGTTTCTTTTTTTGCTATTGTGTTTAGTTTTTTGTCTGGTAAAAAAACCTGTGTTTGTTCAAGGGCTTTTTGATTAAAAGTTAGTAATTAAATTTTAAAAAGCCAATTAAAACATTTCAATTAATAAAAAAAATTGAATACTTTTATCAATAAAATGTTAGTGCAATGTTTAATTATTAATAACTGAATCAAAAGCATCAAAAATGCAACTCCAAATTTTCTGTTTTCACTTTTTGATCTTATTCGTATCTTTTGGCCCTCAAAAAGTGTCGGGCGACTGCTGTTGGCCAGTGTACTACCCGGACCGAGATTGTGGAATTAAGGTTCCACCTTATAACAATAACAGCAACAAAACCGATCTCATCCCAAAGCCTCCGATGCCCTGGCCAACACTTTGCTACGACTGTGAGCCGCCCTATGGTCTCTACTGTGGAGTTGGTATGTGTGGTCATCATTTTTAACTTGAAAAACATTTAGATTTTTAATTTGTTAATTACAAAATCTGTTTATTTAGGATCATGCAATATATTTGGCTGCAATTGCCTGGCTTGTCGTCATGAGAAGAAGACGACGGCAAAGTCGACAAATTAAATTTTTGCAAAATTTTACATTTGAGTTTAAAATTACATGATTTTTTATCTAGTTTTAAAATGTTTCAGTGCTAAAAAAGAATTTCATTTTATTGTTTTGAATTAATGTCACTTACCTTTTTATGTTATTGGGAAAAAATCCCTCAGCCTCTGCAACCCCATTGGCAGTTGCAACGTGTTTGTTTGATAGCGCAGAAAATAAAAAAATCAGTTAGATAAAATTTCAAACTAGGAAATCAACTTATCAAAAATATTGCAGCCTCTCATTCCACAGAAGGGCGTGCCACCTTCACAGTCGCCGCAGAACATCAGCGGCGGATAGGGCCGATTGCACTGAAGCCACGATTTCTGAACGTAACAACATACAGCTAAAACTTGGCCGTCAAGTGAAAGATGGACCAAAAGTAAAACTAGGTAAAACTTAAACAAAATCGACAGTTTAGAAAAAAGCATGGCAAACTTTTTTACTTTACTCTGAAAAACAATTTGTGTGCTTTTTGTAGTGGCCATCAACCCACTAATTAAGTATAGACAATTAATTTGATTTTGATCACGAGTTTTTGTTCAGAAAAAAATTACAATTTTTAGGGCAATTAAATTAATTATTTTTTGAAATCAGTAATTGATATTTGCCATTTAAAATAGAGCCACACTTTAACCTTGTAATCTATCACCTTTATTCAATTTAAATACTTTTTAAAAATGGTTTTTAAATGTATAAAAGTGTTTTACTTTTTTCGGTAAAAACAAAATAAACCAAAATCAAAAAGTCAGTTTAGCTAGTAGAATGATGGAGTTTTCCACTATCAAAAGAAATAAAATGTTGCCAATGCTTTGCTTCTTTTTCCTGTTTTGCTTTCTGTCCTTGTCGCCTGACCAACAGGTGGCCGGACACTGCTGTCCCCCGGCAAAAAGTTTTGTTGCTTGCGACCAAATTTTTGCTGTTCTCTACTGTGATGACTGTTACATTGGATCGCCCTGGTGTGGAACCGGTCCGTGCAACATTTTTGGTAGGCTTTGTTTATGGCAGCATTTTTTCTGCATTTTTTTATTTACATTTTTTCCTATTTTGACAGGATGCAATTGCGATGGACCTTGTCGTGGTCATCAGAAGGGCTAGTTTTATCTAGCTCAATACATTTTCATTCATGAGGGCTGTATATAAAATTACCTTTTTTAATGTTATTAGTTACCATTTTAATTTTAATAAAAATTACAATTTTTTGGGATTTTAAAAAATTAATTTAAAAACGGCAATTGACATTTTCAGCAGCATTCAAATTGCCGCTACATTTGAGCCTTGTAATTGAACACCCTTAGTCAATGTAGGCATTTTTAATTAGTTAATTACAATTTTTAAAAAGTTGGTATTTGTATAAAGGCGTTTTCATTTTGGTAAAAAAGAGCAAATTAAAAAGTCATTAATTAAATAAAAAATTGAGTCTTTTACTAAAGGAAAAAAAATGGTGTCATTGTTTTGCTTCTTTTTCCTATTTTGTCTCTTGTCCCTTTCGCCTGATCACCAAGTGGCCGGACACTGTTGCCCGCCAGCTAAAACCTTCATTCAATGCAGCCAAATTTTTTATCAAGTTCTCTACTGTGATGACTGCTACATTGGATCGCCCTGGTGTGGAAGTGGTCCGTGCAACATCTTTGGTAAACTTTTACTGCCAGAAAAACCTGTTTGATATTCTAATTTATTAACACTTTTTTAATTTGACAGGATGCAACTGCGACGGGCCTTGTCGTGGTCATCAAAAGGGCTAGTTTTATTTAGCTCACAACTAACATTTACATTCATGAGGGCTGTATATAAAATTTACTTTTTTATGTTATTAATTACCATTTTAATTCAAATAAAAATTACAATATTTTGGGGTACAAAAAACAATTTTTACTTTTATTTAAATTACTTTCTGCATCCTCCGTCACAGTTACAGCCTAGGTAAAGCAAAAACAAAGTTACGTTAAAACAAATTAAAAACTCTGAGCAGTAGCTTACCGAATATATTACAAGGTCCTAAGAGTTAAAAAACATTGTTAAAACAGCATTTTTTCAAAACACACATTATTTTCTAATTACCTTCTCCGCAGAAGGGCGTTGCCGGTGTGCAATCACCGCACATGTCCATATCGTAGGGGCCACCGAGAGAGTTGTTGCGGTGAAGGCACTGCCACTCGTAAAGTACTGGCCAACAGCATTCTCCAAACACTTGTTGCTGATTGTACAGCAGAACAAGAAGCAGAGTCAAGAGGAAAATGTGTTTCATTTTAATAAAAATAAAAAGAAAAGCTTTTAACTTTTTTAAATTAAAAATAATTGGTTTTTATATTTATTTTAACCATGATTTTTTAATTAACGGCAGTTTTTACATTTACATTGTTTTGATTTGCATTTTAGTTTTAAGCATAAATTTTTCTAAAAAAACAAATTGACACAAAAACTTGTCAATTTATTTAATCTTTTTATTTAAATTTTAAAAATTATTTTTGATGTTTTCGACTAACTATTAGTTTTTTCTAATTAAATTATTCAATTTTTTAAAATACAAAAATTAATATTTCTTGGAAAGCAACAGTTGACATTTAAAACTTGAACCATGCAATTGAACACTTTTATATTCAATGTAAATATTTTTTATTTAGTTCACTGAAAAACACTTTTAAAAGGTTTTCAAGTGCACAAAGGTACTGTTCATTTTAGTAATAAAAAGCTAACTAAAAAAATCATAAGTTTGCCTAAACAATGGAGTCTTCTACTAAAGGAGAAAAAATGTTTTACTTTTTTCTCTTATTTTGCCTTTTGTCCCTTTCGCCTAACCAACAGGTGGCCGGTCATTGCTGTCTACCGTCAAAATACAACGAGCAGTGCGGGACCATTATTACACTTTTCTTTTACTGCAATGATTGCTCCATTGCATTTCCCTATTGTGAAGGGCCTGGAGGGTGCAACATCTTTGGTAAGTTTTTTGTTTGTTGCGACACATTTTTCATTTCGTTTTCTGTGCACTTTTTTGAACTTTTAATAACTTTTAGGATGCAATTGCGATGGACCATGTCGTTGAGGCACAACAAGGCTGGCTATAATGGACCGCTAGAACAACTTTTTGATACCTAACATTGATTCATGAGGGCTGTATGATATTTTTTATGTTATTGGTAAACGAACTTTTGTTAATAAAAATTACATTTTTCTGGGGTAAATTGCTTATTGTTTATTTTTTTCAACATTGTTCAACAAGTTTTTGAAAATTGATTCAAAGTAAAAAACTAGTTTTAAAATGTAAAAATGTTATTTATACAACGTAAAAACAAATTTT